GAATTGAAATCGGAATTGGGACTGGGATTGTGCAACAGCAACCATAACAATCGTATTAATCGTGCAATAGCAAATTAATGCAAGGCATTGTAAGGCCCGACACGATTCCTGTTAGTAACGCTGATTAGGATCTAGCCGGGGCCTCACGCACACCGCACAAGCATCTCCACACACATTAATGTGTCAACATGTGCGATAAGTCCGCATCCAGCGACAGAACACACAGTAGTTGTCGCTGCTCGCTGGTAGCCCACAAATACAAATAATTCTGATGTCTAGTTCCTGGTAGCGAGATAATGTGTACAAAAGATACGATAAGGATCGCACACACACACACACACATATGCGATTCGTGCGAATGTCACTGCGACCACAACAATGTGCGCATAATGAGTGTAGAGACTGTGGCAGAGTTCTGCCAGCAGCCAGCAGGATCTCAGCACAGATATCAGCAGAGAGAGAGAGAGAGAGAGCGAGAGAGAGAGAGAGAACTCCCGTGAGCCTAATTCTCAAAGTCATAAACTACACTTTTTTTGTGTCCGTCTCTCAATTTGGAATGCCTCCGTTTGGCATGCTACATAAATCTTTTGGGGCAGGACATGCGCTTGAGGAAAATTTCATTGTTGGATTTTTATTGCAATATGCAAATGGTTTGTTTGCCTCGATTTCCACTTCTCAGCCCAGGCTGACCTTCAACCCCTCCGCGCTTAAAGCATGCGGTTGACCGCATTCTCAGCAGCAAAAAGGGTTGCATTCAGCTCTGCCTCGACTCAGTTTCTTGCTCTGCGCACTAACAACTTGATTAGAGAAACTTGCCGTACATTATTCTTGATTAAGTCACATTAATTATGATAATGATGACGACTGTCTCGAATCGGAAAGAGAACCAGACTCGGGGTTCTTCTAAAGAGCGACGCAGGCAATTGAAACGGGAACAGGATATTGTTTGACTTCAAGGTCCAGACAATGCAGCGACGTGTGCGCGAATAAAAAATGAGCACAACAGCAGCAGCAGCAGCATCAAAAAAACGACCATAAAAACAGAGAATAGAGAAGCAAAGAATTATATCTCTCTATATATATAGGTAAATGTGCGTGTGTGATAAATGTCAACTTCCTGCTCAGCATCCGACACGCCTGAACTGCCCTAGCTGGCTGGCTGRCTACTGGCTGACTGGCTGATGACTTCATCAGTAGGCCATCTAGATTATATACGGAAGTTATCTAATAACGGCTGACACTTTTAATCCTTTTATGAAATTAATCAAGTGTGGCCATGAAAGATCCCAAATAAGGAAAAAAAAGAGAAAACAATAAAGGAGACTCCGAATTGGGCAGCTGCCAACTGCAGATGCAATTGACTCGCTATTGAGTTTGACTTGGATAATTGTTAAAAAAGAGAGAGAATAAAAGAGACTGATAGAGAGGGTGGCATATAGAAAAAGTAAAAATTGATTTTGCGAGAGTTGCTATAAATATAGTTTATAGTAGATGCCTTTGGTAAACTCCTTCCTTTGCTCATGATTTTCAAAAAGCAGAAATCAGACTTAATATCAGTTCAATAAGTCTTAACCAAAGGATGGCAAAGATATGTATATAGTGGATAGGTCAGTAAAATATGAATCGATTACATATAAATATATTAAAATAAAATAAAATTATAATGCCTTGAAATAATAAGAAATGTAAAATTCCTGTTTTATCAAAGCGAAGATTTGGCTAATTTCACATAAGAGAGAAACAGAAATAAAGCGAGAGGCTGTGTGAATGTGTGTGTGAGAGAGAGGGGGAGAGAGAAGAAGAAGAGATTGATTTTTCAATAAGCTGTTTTACTATTGCGAAAATAAAATTATGTAAAAGCCTTCAAAGCGTAGCTTTCAATCATCAAGAAAGAAAGATAGAGAAAGATGGATATGACATAGAACAGAGCTAAGAGCAGAATAAATAAGAATCTTCTCTGATAAATTTGCTAAAAATATATGTTGAACTAAGAACCTAACAATCGTTCTTAGTTCAACATGATTATTCCTCTCTCTCTCTCTCTCGTTCAGCGCCCAGACTTGATAAGACTGACTCAATTACTAGCAATATTAAGAAATTATGCAAAATAGTATATGAAAACAACAGAAGAGATACCTTTCAAAATGTATTTGAAAAAAGTTTAAGTAAAAAAACTTTTGTCAAAACTCATTCATATCCAAACCGAATTCGAAGCACTGCACTCAGAGGTCAATAGCCAAGCGAGCATGTTACAAATTGATTGATTAAATGCTATATAAAGATTACGAAAAAAATGGAGAAAACTCATAAAATGCAATTTCAATTATTCAACTCACATGATAAGCGAGAGACATTCATAAATTAACCATAAGCCAGACGAAAAATCGAAGGAAAAAAAAATAAATCAAGTAACGAAGTTCAAAAATTTATGGACATTCATTGATCAGTGCATGAAGTTTTATGCTTTATGTTGTGTCGTATGTGATTTCCGTTCGGGAACTGCGCTAGGTGGGCTAGAGTCATCAAAAAAAAAAAAAAAATACACAGACACAAAAAACAAAAAAGTAGAAGAATAGAGAAAGAAAACTAACTGAAAATCAAACTAGAAATGCAGACTGCATACTAAAACAATGGAAATAACCGTTTTTCCAGCCAGCTGCTACCGACACAGTGGGCACTCGCTATAGTTGAAATGACAAATGAACTGAGGCGGATCATGAGAGCGACTACTGACAGTAGGCAGAAAGTTGTCAAAACAAATGGCTAAAGGCAAAGCGGATCAACTCAACTCAACTCAGCTCAGCTCAGAAATAACAATTCGAAAACAGTTGCCGAAAATGTGCAAAACTACTTGAACTAACCGTTGATCTTGAATGCCGTCCTGCGAATCATTAATCATGGCTCATCATGCAAAAAAAAAAAAGAGCATCAGGAATAGTTAACGCTTAGCTGAGCCAGAGACGCGCAGAGCTGAAGTCGCCTCAAATTGGGCAGCTTCTTGATCGATTTAGCAGGAGTCGAGCACCTAAATGCCCACTTCAGAGTTTCTATTGATTATGTCGCCGCATTGTCATTAATTATGCCTTTGTTTGGGCCTGGCTGTCACTTTTGTGGTTCAAAAACGAAGAGAACTATACAAACTCGAGTGCAAGAACATTTTCAACGGGTTAAGAGCTAACCGAAAATCTAGGTAGCGAATGCCTAATGCTTATGAATTTCTAATGTTGCGTCATTAATCAACCAGTCAAAAGGTGTTTTGATTTTGGCATACGTTCAAGGCAGTCCAAAACCCAAACAATTGACATGCACACACACACACGCTCAGGCACACACACACGCACTCACATGACATTGGACCGCGTTTGCAACTTCCAGCTACTTGCAACATGCAATCGCAGAAAATGTTGTGCCAAAGCGAAACTAGAACACGAATGAGAACTTTTTTCGTAGTTTATTTCAGTTGGCAATGTTGTGTATGTTGGGCGCTTTGTTTGGCCAAGAAGAATGGGAGAACTCCGAAACGAACCTAAGGTCAGCCGTAATAGGTTCGAGGCACTGAGCCATTGAACTTGTTGGGTAGCACCTTGGCTTCGTTTCGGGTAGCTAGAGAGCTTGCATTAGCACATGCTATTAATTCTTCAGCGCATTGCATTGTTATAAGCCACTCAAGACAGTTCCCGGCGACAGACGGACGGACAGTTCGACAGTTGTTAACAAGCTGCCAAAAGTTGAGGTGAGAATGAGCCTAGCAGCGAGACACCCACCAGTCCCAAGGCAGCCAGAGACGTGCTGCTGCTGCCTTTACAGGGTATCTGCTGGGCGGGTTCGTCTACTGGCAGCACGCACAAAGTGCGTTAATTAACAGAAAATATGCTGCGCCCACTTGGTAACTGCAGCCGAAGGACTGCAACGCCCCACAGCAGCATTCAAATAGCCTGGCTATAGCTGGCCCTACCCCTACCCCTACCCCTACACCCTGTCCCATATATGATGCTATAGACTATGCCTTCGGCTTATTATTTACGATTTTTCGCATAAATTTACGCGAACGCTCGTAAAACTGCGTGAAATACGACATTTTGAGTTCTGTGAAAGTGTAACACGAACGAACTGACTCGAGATTGGCATCCGAGATCCGAGACTGGCAGCAGGAGCGGCAGAGTGGGGGAGTGGGGGAGGCCTGAAGACCTGCAACTGAACCTGGAGCTGAAGCTGAACCTGCGCACAAGGCTGTTCGCTGATCGAAGCGTGTGTGAGCGCTAACTCACCATGAACAATAAGCCAGCATCTCAGTGATTTGTAGCTTTCAGCGTTAACCTGGCAACAATGTTGCTAATAGATGTTGCTAAGCTGCCGACACCAACACCAACACCAACACCGACACGCAGACACCCAAAACGCTGAGCAACAAAAGCTCTAAAGTTCCTTTCGTCATGCCCTGGCTGACAAAAAGCTGCAGCTGCTCGATGTGAGTCTTAAGCTTTTGAGTTCCAGCATTTTAAGTAAATAAGCAAATTGAATTTGACAGAAAGTTAAAAACTTTTCTTTCCTTCACTTTACTCTGGCATAAATTAGAATTAATTTATTTAAGGAATTTTAAAACTGTGAAGGTTGTCTTAAAATTCCTTAAAATTAATTAATTTTATTAGTTTATCTCTGTTCCAAAGTTAAGTTCATTTCACTCTAGCTTTAAGAAATTAAGAGGGGAAATATTTCTTTTATACGTTTTGAAAATCTCTTTTCCTTTAAGAAATTTTTAACCAACCTTCAAAATAGTTCACACAACTTTTCTTAATTAATTTTCATTTCAATAAATTTTAAATTCATTGTTTTTGCTACTCAACTTCTTTATATTTTCATCTACATTTTTTTTTTTGTGCCTTTTCCAATTATACATATTATTACTTTTGTTTAAAAAATTGATTGTGTTTTTTTCTTCTTTTTTCGGTTTGTGCCTTTGCTAGAAATACATTTTCGTGTCAAGTTATGGACTCTAATATTTAATCGTCCGCCAGGTCGCCCACTGTGAGCGTGGCTGGGGGCGCTGTGGCCGCTGCTGCGGTCACACTGAAGGGCAGACCGTGCTGCGTGGCCGAGGCCCAGCTGCGGCGTGGTAGTATCCGGCCGAAGTTGAAGTACTTCTGCCTCAGCTTATCCTTTATTTCGTCCTCGTTCATGATGGCGCTAGCCTCGCGAAAGTTGAGGAAAATGCGACCCTTTTCATCCGTTTTGATGGGCAGAATTTCGGTGCAGACATTGCGCGCTTTCAGCAGGAAACCCTCCTCCTCCTGGGTAGTGCTGATGAGCGCCGCACCGTCACCCTGGCACAGTTGAGCCTCGGGCAGCACGACCACGGTGTCCAGGCGCGAGTCCATGGACTGGGAGCGCGGCGGCTTGGCCACATGGTTCTTCTTCTTACGCAGGCAGAAGGGATCCCGATCGCTGGCCTTAACATACTGCACCACCGGCCGATTGACGCCCCACTTGGGGCGATCGTCCATTTTGTGGCCATCCTTGTCCTTGCCCTGATTCTTCCTGTTCTTGTCCTTCTCCTTCTCCTTGTCCTTGGTCTTCGCCTTGAACGTGGTCGTCGTCGTCGTWGTGGTGGTCGTCGTTGTCTCGTGGTCCTTCTCCGCCGCCGACTCCTTCGCCGGCTGTGTTTGGGTCTTCGACGTCTGCGTCGTGGTCGTGGTGGACACCTCGCGCTTCAGCAGCACCTTGTAGAAGTTGTCGTGGAACAGACACAGATCGCAGTTGAGCGGCAGCTCCGTCTGGGTCTCCACATCCGCTTGCAGAGCGCCCTCAGTGGCTCGCCTCAGCCTGTTCGCCGACTCGCCGGCTGCAGCAGGAGTCTTCACTGGGATCAGCGCCAGTTTGTCCTGCTCGGCTGGCTGTCGCGCAATATCCACCTCCAGGGAATCGGGCGAGAAGAAGCCGCTGGCCGTCTCCAGGGCAGTGCGCCCCGAGCGTGTCGTGTGCAGCAGTTCCTCATCCTCCTCCTTCTCCGCCTGGTAGCCATCCTCGGTGCAGATCGAGGTCTCCGTGCGCTGCGTCATGGTCGCCTTGGAGTAGCTCCGCTCCGTGCTGGCCGGCGGCGGCACCGGCGCCGGCTGCTGCATGAAGTACGTGGCAATCTGCAGATTCCCAATGGCATTCTGCAGTCCGAATATGTCCGTGGTCACGGGCAGCGGGATCAGTGTGGCTGGCTGCATGAGCAGCGCCAAGTTCTCCTTCTCCTCGACAGAGCTCGTCAGCTTCGCCTTCGTCTTCCCGGGTGACTCCTTGGCAGCGCCCTCTGTTGTCTCTGAGGTCGGTTGCTTGATGGGCTTCGTGATGGTGCGCCTCAGATTGATGGGTGTGCCAATGAGCACCTTCTCCTCGGAGACCACAGCTGGTGGAGCAGCAGCTGCTGCTGCTGGTGGTGGTGCTGCTGCTGCTGCTGGAGGAGGAGGAGGCGGCGCTGCACGCGGCGTATGACTCTCTGCATCCGCTGCATGCTCTAGTTGCTCCTCAACAATCTCTTCCTCTTCCACGGAGAGCACCTGCAGCAGCTCCGGCCTGTCGGCCTGCTCCTGGCTCTGGGCTCGCTCGCGGTTCTTGCGCTTCTTTTGCTTCTCCATTTTGGCGGCCACCTCTGCCTTGGCAATGGCATCTAGCATCGCCTGCTGCTTCTTGCGCTGCGCTTCCTCGCGCTCCAGCATCTGGCGACGCTCGTGCTCCAGTCGCTCCTGCTCCAGTTGCTTCTGCCTGCGCATGCGCTGCTCCTCCAGCTGCTCCTCCTGCCTGTGCCGCTCCAGCTCCCACTTGCGTATCAGCTCGCGCTCCTGCAGCTGCTTCTTGATCGCATTGTGATACTCGGCCGCCTTCCGCCGCTTGTCCATGCGCTCGGCCAGCGTGTGCGCGTCAAGCGGCGCATTCTGCCCGCGCAGATAAGTGGAGGATGAGTGCACCGACTGCGCATCGTCCTCGCTGTCCTTGAGATCGTGCATGCCACGATTCAGCCAACCCGCCGGCACCGCCACCGCCACCGGCTGCTGCCCGTTGTAGTTGGCCCAGCGGGCGCGCTCCCGATCCCGATCTCGATCCCGCTCCTGCACATAGTAGTCCCCCTGCTCGCAGCTGTTGCTGATGTGCACCTGGTAGGTGTTCGACGTGGACACGTCGCGACTGAGACTCACGTTGGAGCAGGTCGACGGAGCGGCCACATAACAGCAGCTGCTCAATTGGAGAGAAGCCCATTAGCCTCCACTCGAACTTGGTTAGATTCTAGGAGTTCGCTACTCACCTGTCTGCCAGGTAGCCATCGGCTGCCAGTGGCTCATAGCTGTGGCGCTGTGCAGCCCCACGGCGCGTCGGCTTGGACGCTTGAGCACCAGCAGTGGGCGTGGGCGTAGCCATGGGCAGGGGCTGGGGTAGGGGCATGGCCGCCCCCTGTATCGATCGCCTCAAACGCGAGGCGTTGCCAACGCTCTCCTCGGTCTGGCTGGCGCTGCCCATCCCACTAATGCTCCCATTTTGGCTGGCTGCATCGTTGTACCAAATGTCGGGCGTGTGTGTGTTCTTGGGCGTGTCGCTCAGATAGCCGGAAGTGTCCTCTTCCTGGCAACCAACTGGCGCTTGGCTCCCATTCGGATTGTTTAATCGATGTGGCATGTTGGCGTTGCCGGGATCAATGTTTGTTCCCTTCACGTTGCCATTGACTTGGCCAAGTTGATTGGCCGCTTTTAGCTGCTGCTGCTGTTGTCCCTGTTGCCTGCGCCCTGCCTGATACTCCCGCTGCCTGATTGTGGGTAAACTGGGACTCCTTAGCCTGTGCTGCTGCTGGTGCTGCTGCTGCTGCTGCGGAGGGTGTTGCATGCGCCCTTTGGCCGTTTGCAGCGCCGTGGGCACCAGCTCCACGTAGCGGCCGGGTGGCGCCTGCAGCTGTCTCTCGGACATGCCGGGCGCATAGCTGCCACGCCGCTGACGCCTGTACAGCAATTCATCGTCCTCAAAGTCCGCATCGGCATCCACGTCCAGCTCGTCCATGTAGCGCTCCACCTGGTTCATGTAGTCCTCGCTGCGCTGCCGCTGCACTGGGCGATAGTCCGTGGCGGGCTGCGGCCGCACAATCAACTGCATGGGTGGAGCGGGCGGCTGGCGGGCGTGGCTGGAGGTCTGGTTCGAGGAGCTCTGGCTGAGATCCAGATTGGAGTAGTACGTGCGTATGGAGGTGCGCTCGATCTTGTGGTGCGAGGTGGATGAGGTGTGCTGATGGTGGTACAGCTCATCCATGCGCGCTATCTCCTCTGCCAAGAGAAGACACCGTTAGGAGCTGCTCTCACGGAGGCTGCACTGCACTCACCTCTTTCCTTGGCCCATTGCTGCTTCTTCAAGTCCAGCAACCTATGCGTTTGTCTAGCTTCCGGACCCGTAATCATGTCTATTCACCTAGTTCATTGCACCTGAGAGAGTGAGAGAGAGAGAGAATTGACGTCACTGGAGTTGGACACCACGACGGGACAAGGCTAAGGCGAACACTAAATGCGAACAACTCAACGAAATTCCATCAAACTCGCGACACTGAGCCAAAATTCGATTTGTTTTGCATTGGAATGCCCTGCCAAACGTCGCCCTGGCAACGTGGCACGTGTAAACAAATGGGGAATATGTCCGAAACAGCTCGAATACAACTGTATACCCTTTCTGAAATCAGCTTAGCTAAGGAGAAGTTCAGGTAATTTTATTAAAAATCAATTAAGTTTGTGCTAGACAAATACGAGTTAGGGTTAGTCTACTCCCTCCCACTCCCACACATATATCACCGCCACCTCCACTTTCAGAATCGATATACCCCATGGCAAGTGCATGGCTAAACTTCCTCAATGACTGTGACGGGGCTAAAAGTCCTTGCACTCCACGCGCAGTGGGTTAATGCAATCAGGTGAGCCTCGCGTGCGAATCGCTCATTGTCTGTGAGTTTCGGAAGGTTCGTACACCCCTAAAAATATACGCAAATGGGCTACACAAATAGACATTTGAATAAATTAAGGGTGGAGAGACTTGAGAATGGGCCAGCGCCGTTAACTGTTTATTGATTGGTCGAAATTCGTTAGCCATGCAAATAATTTCCTTGGGCTGGGCAGCAACAAGTCAGGCCGGCCAAGTCAGTGGCCTTATCAACTGGATCAGTGAGTAGAAAGGCCAAATGCGTAGGTGTCAGATGCGGAACGTCCTTCGTTCGTGCCCAAAGAATGCAACTCGATTAAGAGGGTACAACCTAYCTACCTCTACCTACCTCGGCCTACCTACCAGAGCGTCTCTGAACAGAAAACTTTATTTCCCATGGTCAAATAGAAATGGCCAAAGATAAAAGGAAGAAATATCTCATAACCCATTTTCCATAAACATACATAAACCACAAAAGCCACAGCAAAAGTTAACCAGACTCATTGTTGTTGTTGTTGCTGTTGTTGCTGTTGTTGTTTGGGTTGCTTGTGTTGTTGTTGCTGTTGGGTCTGGTTTATACGCGTGGGCGTAGAAATCACTGCCAGTCAAAAGGTCATGTTATGATCTTGAGCGAACTATGTGTCTAAGTCCAACGATGACGCTGAGGAGCATGGGAGCCCGAGCTCAGCTCAAGCGATTGCAGTTGCAGCAACACAACACACAACAACAACAACAACAGCAATGGAGATCAAAGACACAGAGCAAAAAGAGCAGAGCAAAACGGATCAGTGTAGAGCGAAACTGCGGATGGTACGGCAATCAAGAAATCCCACTTGATACAAGTGCATTTATAAGACATTATAATGAGTTTTTATAAACTTAAACAGGGTCGCTCATCGCTCGTCGGTCGTCGCTCGTCGCTGCCTTAGGGCGTCACTTAACTAGACTTGAACTTGGACAGGCTCTTGACTCGGGCACTGCGCAGCATTGATCATGGCTGAAGATGATAATTGCTATGAGCTAGGTCAGCAGCCAGACAGTTGGGCAAGCGCAGCGTATGTCACCAATCCACTCTTACCCATAGAAAGTGATCAGTGATCAGCAATCAGTGATCAGCGATCAGTGATTAGTGATCGGTGATCAGTGATCAGTGTGACCAGTGATCGGGCTAAAAATAATCGTGTCTTATGGCAACCATTTAGTCAGCAATTTTCATACATCTTGGCAAAAGATTTCACTCGGTGTCCGAGCGTTCGGGCCAATTGAACGATCAGCAATCATTCGATCGCTCTATCGATCGATCGATCGATCGATCGTTTGTTCGTTCGATGTATCATTTAGTGTGTAACCTCAATACGGCGATCAATAAACAAACAAGCCAAATGCCTAATAATTGTAATTTACCATATTTTTGTCGACTATATGACGATCATAGACGAACCAAACACGATCGGTGGGTGCCCCGTGGCAGAGTGGAAGTGGGAGTGGGAGTGGAAGTGGAACTGGGAGCGAGTGCCAGGGCAGCTCTCTCGGGCAAGTCGCAGAGCCAACACTCGTAGCTTCGATGGGCAATACATATTGATCAAAATTGATGATGTTGACACGAACTTTGAACGAGCTCCAAACAAGCGATGATGACTCTACGATCGGCAAGCACTGTCTACCTCGCTGACGACGACGACGACGTCGACGTCGACTCCACTCCACCTGCTTCTCTTTCAGCTKCAACGATGTTGTTGTTGTTTTCTGTAGTCTTCAAGGGTTTCTTGCCGATATTTTTAAATCGTTGAACGATTTTCCCAAGTGTTTTTCGATTAAGCAACAACAATAACAACTCTATGAATTCTCAAGTGAGAGTATCACACAATCGATACATCATACACTTATCAGCCAGACTCGAGCAGCGCAACTATTCGATAGCTGAAATTTAAGCTAATTGAAGACGGCTCGGCTCGCTGGGCTCTTCAATTCCATTTGACATTTGCCGTTTGTGCTTGTGTTTGTGTTTCTTTTGAACGGGTTCAAGTGTTTCTCTTTCTGAAGCATTTAATTGTTCAGATGACACTTTTGGCTTTTGTCTAGGCAACAGAATTTCTGGCAATACAAATTTGTGGCGGTTTTTCTTTAGCGTGTTGCAATCGAAGCGCGTTCTCTTCGTAACTTTCAATTAATGTAGTTAGTCTCCATCGTTGCCAAAAATGGTTAGCCAGACAAAACGTTCCGAGACGTTCACAACAACAACAACAATAACAATGACAACAAGCAATCTGACCAACTGTCTGCTGGTCACATTGTAGCGCCAACACTCGCCAACAACTGTCAGGTGTTTAGATGCCTACCTCATAGCTCTCTCTCTCTCTCTCTCTCTCTGTCTCTCACGCTCTCGCTCTGGATCTCTCTGTCTATCTCTCTCTCTGTTTCTGTCTAGCGCCACGAGTCGCATTAGTCTAAGACTTAAATGGAGTTTAAGCACTTGGGCAGTCAGCTTGTAATGCTGTAAGATTAGAGTCTGAGAGACCTTGACTCATGTTATATAGAGGGGCAGAAACGAAGTGATGCAATAATCCTTTAGCCTTTTCTCAGCTAAGAGCTCTTTTAGCAATTGAATTAATAAATAAAAAATACTTAAATATTCCCATAAATATGTTTGAGGCGCTGCTATTATGTTCATAAATTTCTTTGTTGGACTCCTATATAACAAAAAGCTAAAATTATTTTTTTTTTTTTTAATTTTATTTATATTGTATCTGAAACAAACCCCCTATAAATCACTGCATTTATTGATCTAAACTATCCTCACATAGATTGCTCAAGGGAACCTTAATGAATAGTTTTCGAAATTCCGTAACATTATTGCAAATGCCATAATCGAAATTCTCCTGGCAATCTCAATCGGTTTTAATAACACTCTACTCAACTATGTATTCTCTCTTCAGCTTCCACATCTCTTCGTATTCAATATGTGCAGAAATGTGCTGAAGTGCAACCAGAGTTCGGTTCAAAGTTGTTGCAGCTTGTTGCAGCTTGTAATTGTTGCCACTCGTCGTTGTCGCTGATTGTCAGTGGGSCTGTTGCTGCTGCTGCTGTTGCTGCTGCTGTTGTCCTCTCTGGCTGACAACATGCTACACTTTGGTCACTATAATGAGCCGTAATTAGTGCTGATGTGTGGACAACTCAGATGCCTTGGCTAACTATTCGCCATGATAGGCCGCGTGTGAAAATTTGCGCGCTTTTTGATAATTGCGACAAAGCGCTGTGAGTCGTAGCTAACTGAATGTTGTTGTTGTTGGTTGCAGTTGTTGTTGTTGTTGTTGTTGTTGTTGCTAGTGATCGTTGGCGGCTCGCTGACATGGCCATGCATCAACGTCGGTGTCGCAGACGTCTGGCTAAATGAAAGGAAAACTGATTAGCCTTGACAAGTTCAAATTGTTTGGCGTAGGGTTGGGATTGGAAACGCGTTGAGTGAAAGCGTTTGGGGGGCCGGTGAATAAAATCTCTTTTCCCCAAAATAAAAAGAAAAACCATGTAAGAGACACAAGCACAAAAAAAAAAAAAAAAAAAAAAAAAAAAAAAAAAAAAATCAAAATGTCCACTGATTGCCAGCGCTTGTCGTACGGCCAGACAGTCAGACAGCCAGCCAGTTGGCTAACGGTTAATACAGTCCATCATTATCAGCCACCAACACCGCCTAGCAGTAAAAGAAATGCGTTGCAGCAACAAGCAGAACAACTGCAACTGCAACAGCAACAGCAACTGCAACTGCAACAGCTCTAAGGTCAGTTAGAGACCAAAAAATTGTTGTGCACACACACGGCGGCAGCCTAAAAAAAATATTCTCACAAGGCTGCTTGCGGCTCAGTGCGGCTGGTTCTGCTGGCCACCGTCCGTCGTCCATGCAGTCTCAGTCTCAGTCTCAGGCTCAGCCTCAACCTCAGCCAGAGCCTGCAACATGAAACAGGTGTGGCACATCGCGTCTACAATGCGCATCGTAACTACACACACACACACACGAACACACCAGGCCGGGCCAAAGCCAAAAACTGGGAGGCTGCCCCAGCCGTTTTGGCCAGGCCATCTCTGCGGCTTGACTCCATCTGAAGCAGTAAGTGTGCACTGAGCGAAATATTTCATATGTTTATGACAAGTTTTTCTTTTTTGGAAGATTGAGAAGCCAAAGAGAATTCTTGCTGCGATAAATATTTAATCTGATGAGTATATAACTAAACAGCTCTAGATTGTAGAATGATGTAGNAATAGAATACATATAATAATAAAAAATTCAACTATATTTAACAATAATGTTTTACATTTTTTAATTGATATAAGAAATCGATTGAATAAAAAATTTCCAAGTTATGACCCTAAAAAAATATTCGAATGTATTTGAAATATTTTAGACTGAAATAAAATGAGTAATGCTTAGAAATATTATAATAAAAATAATAAAAGCACAAAAACAAAACAAACAAAAAAAGTAGATTCATGAACATTATTGATTATGATTCATAGAAAGAATTTGTATAAATTAATTTAATGCAAAAACATTTA